ACTTCATCTAGAACTAATGATGTAATGTATGGGGATTAACATAAGAATAAAAAAAAAAGAAGTGTGTGCTTCTGTTTCCATTTCAGATTGGAAATTCAGATTTACATATGTAATATACATATGGATTCCAGTAAATGCCACCAAAATAAAAGATGATCTAGCCATTGACTGAACCCAAGCCAGACTGATTCCTGAAATTTCATTTCAAGCAGGAAGCAAGGGATTTGGAGACAGAAAGTGTGGGTTCTAATCTTGGCTCAGCTACTTTATCTTGGGCAAACGGCTTGTCATCTCAGAGCACAAGTGCTTTAATATTTAAAGCAGGAATAATAATAATATTATCTGCCCATCTACATCAAAAATTGTTGGAGGATCAAGTTCAATCATCTGTGAAAGCCATTTACTAACTATATATCCTTGTGAAATAGCAAGTTATTTCATAGACAATTAGGAAAACATCACAAAACTTAATGAATCCACTGATTTATTTAATATAAAATATAGCTTCTCCAATTAACATAGCTTTGCAGAACGCAGTAATAATAACTGGCCCCAGAGATAGAAGTAACTTTTAGCATGTACAAGAGTACATTTTAAGACTATTTTATTTTTCAACTCTCCATCAATTTCATTATCTTTTGAGCATAACTTATCTTACGGTGATAGGTAAAATTACCAAGTAGCTGTTATGTCCCAGTTATATAATATTCATTTAGAAGTTCATCAAAGTTTACATATTATAGAATGGAATGGAACACACACCTATCAACAGACACAAGCCCACACACACACTTTCTTAACTAACTAGAGGGGGGGAAATACCAATTAAGAAAGCAGCAGCAATGACAACAACAAAATCCCCACCTGATTTCAAATATTCTCTCCTCTCCTACAAAATAATCAACACATCTCTAGATTCTATTTTCAGCTGAAAGGGATCATAACAAATGAGACAGCTTTGAAAGCCAACACTAAAACTTATCCAGATGAAAAATCCACTTATTATTTTACTCTGAGCTCAGAATAATCAGTTATTTTTGTAAAAAGACTTGAGTTGTTTTTCATTTATAGCAGCAGGGAGTTAGTTCAAATGTACCTTCTGAAACTTTTGCAAAGAGTCTTTAAAATGGTCACTTTGCTTTTCAAAGCAATATGATACACTTTCTAAATTTCACTGGAATAGACAGGGAATGAAACCAGGTAAATGATGATAAAGGCAACACCACACATCACTGTGGTGAGCAGAAGAACGTAACAGTTCACATAATTAAGAAGAACCAAGATTTCTGCTTTAACATGCTTACTTTCAAATCCATGAGGAAGATCTGCTTTCAAGTCAGTAACCAGAGTTTGTTCTGCAAGTTGGAAAGGCCTCTGACAAAGTCTAAGTACACAGACTTTCTCCTTTTCTGCTTTAAGCAGCCTTGGCTTTCATACTGAGAAGTAATAGCAATTTTAATCATACTGCTCATTCTGAAAGGCACTGACAGGGAGTTATGAGGGGGAGAAACGCCCCCTTTCTATCAGTATGAGCTGTGATTACATATACAAACAAACAAAAAAGGAACCAAGAAAATGAAAAAGAAAGGCAAATGAAACCATCTTTGCAAGCTAATCATTTTTTTTTTTTTAAAGATTTTATTTATTTATTTGACAGACAGAGACACAGCGAGAGAGGGACACAAGCAGGGGGAGTGGGAGAGGGAGAAGCAGGCTCCCTGCAGAGTAGGGAGCCCGATGCGGGACTCGATCCCAGGACCCTGGGATCATGACCTGAGCTGAAGGCAGTCGCTTAACCAACTGAGCCACCCAGGCGCCCACAAGCTAATCATTTTTCAGAAAGCACACAGTCTTATTTCTACCTACTTTCTATTCCCATCACAACAGCCCAAAATGCCAGGGTGCTTGGGTGGCTCAGGGGATAGAGCCCTGTGTCAAATCCCCTGTTGAGCTCTGCGCTTAGCATGGAGTCTGCTTGAGATTCTCTCTCCCTCCCTCTGTGCCCCTCCCCCAACTCACACACAAGCTCTCTCTCTCTCTCTCAAATAAATAAATCTTAAAAAAAAAAAAAAAGAATAGCCCAAAATACCAAAGATTAAAGCTGACTTTAGAATGCAGATATTTTGCGTATCTAACATATGGACATAAAAGCCAAGTTGGAAACGTTTCTTTTTGTAAGATCCAATGGCTAGAAATTCATGCTTATAATACCTTAGGAAAGATTAATAACTAATAACTCTGATCACACTTAGTACCTTAGAAGGTTTGTTGAAAAGGCAGGCACCACCTCCACTATTCAGAAAGTCATGATACTCTTCAATATTACACTGGGTGAACTTTTTAGGAAGATAATACCTGTAAGACAGAAGAAAAGCAGTAACTGGATATAATTTTAGTCCCCCTTGTCTGTATGTTAGTCTTAAACTTGAACATTGTTAAAATTGTAACATTATTCTTAAAAATGAAAGAATAAATTCCACGTATGTACAGCATTTGTGTTAAATCCCTAAGACTTTGATTCTACCAGCATATTTCTAAATTCCTCATTTGGTGATTAATAGTGACTATGGGCTGTTCATTATTAGCATATGCATTCAAAAGAAACACACACATACCTATATTTTCAATCAAAGAGCACAGGAATAATGAGTCTTTCTTAAATATAAAAACTGGATCCCAAACTGCAGAAGATTTTACAAAATTACTGATTTGTAATCTATGAATGTGTCAAAGTCATGAAAGTCAAAGAAAACTGAGGAACTGTTTCAGACTGAAGGAAGATAAGATTGATTCTGAACCATCCGTTAAAGTGGCATTTTTTGAAATACAGGGCTAATTTTGAGTGAGGGCTAAAAATTAGATAATTTTATTGGTTGCATTGTGGTTCTGTAGGAGAATGCACTTGTTTGTAGGCAATGCACACTGAGGTGTTTGGGGGTGATGAGGTACAATGCTAGTGACTTATGACTCAGAGGACAAAAAGGTTCTTTGTTACTATTCCTGCAACTTTTCTTAATTATAAGATTATGTCAAAATACAAAAAAAACAAAAAGGATCAGAAGAAAAAGAAATGTGGCTAGAGAACAATTTGGCAATATGTATGAAGAACCTTCAAAATGAGAAATATCCTTAAATCTAGTAATTCTACTTTAAGAAATTTTTCTTGAGAAAATAACTAGCTATGTATACAAAGATGAATGAACAAAGGAACTTACAGTAGCACAATTTGTAATAGCAAATGCCATGAAAATCATGTAAATGTTTAGAAGAAAACTGTTAACTGTGATATATTAATAAAATAGAATACCATGGAATTATTAATAACATATCTATTATATTCAATGCTTTCTCAAAATTTTCATTTCTATACCTCTAAGTAGGACTGGTTTTCATTTCAACATGCTTTCCAACACGTAGCAGTGCGCAGAGACTTCAGAAAGTAGAAACGAAAGGGGAGGTGCCCACAGGAAATACAGGTCCATAATTAATACTGTTGCGTGATGTCTGACACAGCTCAAATCATATAGAGCATCATGCCAGACAACATTTTCTTTAAAAAGCTTTTCTCTTGAACACATCCATTTGATGTAAGAAGAGTTCTAATGCAAAGAGCTATGTACATTTCTGAGTGTCGCCATTTGATTTTGCTACACATTATGCTTCGTCTAGGCAGATTGCCTATAAAATTTTGTTTTTAGTAATTAAGCAGAATAATCAAACATAACATACTAAATAGCTTTTAAAAGACGAGAACCTCTAGCTTGGAATTTAGTAAGTGTTAGAAAATTACAATTATGGATAAGGACTTTTATCATTCCCTTTTATTACTAAACAGAAACTCCAAAGATATTTTGAAAAATATTTTAATACATGTTTGCATATACATTCCCTCTATCATTTATCTTCCTTGTCATACATTTCTTGGGAGCTCAAAATGCAAATATCAATAAATATTTATTGAAAATCAAGTGTGTCAGGAGATTATGGTGTGAGATCAAACAGAAATACCTATTAGTGTAAGATGTAATACTCAAAGATTCACAACTAATTGGTGAGGCAAAGCATAAGGACATACGGAATTAAATTACAATGCAGGAGTTAAAATTATAATAAATCTCAAATGGTTAGAAATGTGGTTAGAGAGAAATGAGAATTCCAAATGAAAAGAATATATCAACAGAATCAAAAGAGGCTGGAAATTAATGTACATTTATGGTGAGCAAATTTTTAAGAAGCTTAAAATCCATGTAGGATTATGGTTAGAAGATCAAAAAAGCTGGAAACCCCTGTATAACTATCATAATAAGCAAACCAACCATGAATAGCAGGGGAAAACGAGGTTATAAATGAGGATGAAGAAAGATTATGCATATCCAAGTACTGGAGGAAGAACTCCAAACCTTATTCTTCAGACAACAGAGTCTCAACAAAAGTTCTGAGCAGGAAAATGATATGATTCATGTGCAGAAAGAGGAGAATGGAAGAATTTGTGCTGTATACATTCAATGAACTAGAACTGTATATTATCAGCATGGATAAATCTTAAAAACATAAAGATCAAAAAGAGCAAATCACAGAAGAGTACATATAGTATGACTCCTTTCATATAAACTAAAAACATGCAAAGCAATGCTATGTATTACTTCAACACACACATATAAACAATAAAAGTATTAAAAGGGGCTTGTGAATAATATGAACCAAATTCAAGACAGTAGTGACTTTGGCTGGGATTGGGGAGCAACAAGAGAGAACAGAAGGGAGATTTAACTATGTAGGACGTATTTTTTTAGGCCGAGTGATGGTATACAAGGTTCATTCTTCTACTCTTTATGCCTCTTGAAATCAGCCATTGTAGGAGTACTTACACCACAAAAATCAGAGAAAGCTACAAATCCAGGTTCTTTTCTTGTTTTTTATTTTGAGAATCAGCTTACCAGCACACTACTGTTTACAACCCATTTAATTGGAATTGAAGAGACAAAAGAAAAGAAAATTAGTAGGTAAGCCATGAAGAACAAAGCTGTTCCTCACTTACATTTCTAGCCTAGATGAAAGACTAACAAAGTCTTTGGTCTTCTATCTTAACTGACAACAATTGTTTTCATAAATAAGAGACTATTTTATGAAAATATTTTATAATAGAGAGCCATTGATAAAATCTACATCCAATTTTCTTTTTAATGTCAATGGTGAGGTTCCACGCACTAAGCTGTTGGTGTCATATTCCTAAGGAGACAATAGCACAGCAGAGAAAGTAAAAGTGAGTTATTTTCAAATAGAAGTGGCTTACCCAGTGTCTCCCATTATGCATCCAGACCATGTGTCCTCACATCTACACTCACCTAAGAGAAAATGAATACAAATGCCTTTTTATAAAGTGAAAACAGGTGCATTAGAGTAGTTTTTAAAGGTATATCTTCACTTTATTCCTTAAATACCCTTAAGAAGTAATACCTGCTTTCTAAGTTTCCTTATATTTGAAGTTTTGCATGCATTCATAATAACAAAAATCTACTTTGACCATATCAAGATTATATAATTTTTACTAAATTAAAACCTTGATATTTTAACAAGTGGCCTTATTTTTAAAGCATTCATTAAAATGCTTTAAAATGGCTTAACAATCTAATACTAGTGAAATAGCATCACTAGAGGATTCTGTTTTCACAGTCCCTTATGGGAATTCTTACAATTTCTTGTCCAGTTTTAAAACCTCTGCACCAAAGCTGCTGATAGAAGGCAGTATAGTATATTGTTTAAGCAGAAAGGCTTAAACTACCTGGGTTCAAAACCTGGACTTGCCACTTACTATATGAGTAATCTCAGAGACGTTACCCTTTTAACATCCAGTCACCTTATTCTGTAAAATGGGGCTAATTGCAGGATTATCTTGAGGATTAAATGAGTATCTAGATGTAGATAATACTGGCATTCAATTATCTGTCTTTTAATGGGCACTTCATAATGGTAATAGTTATTATTAATATAAACAATCATTTATATTTGTTATTAAAATAATAAGATAAATATGATTCTAATCAACTTACTCCAAATACATGACGTTTGACTATTCCTGGTGAATTAACTTTACCTACTTGGGAAAATATATTCTTCCTAGATGCTAGTCCCAGCATAGTTTACCAGAGCCCTTTAGCAGGCAAACTCTCCTCTATGGCCATACTAAGAGATGTTTTAAATAAACCATAATAAAACAGTATACCTTGAACCTACATGCTTAGGATTCTCTACGAGACCATTTAAAATTACCAAACTGAGCTTATTTTGTCCTTTTTTAAATTCAACAATGAATTTATCACCACATAGCTTTAAATGTTAATTACACATGGAGACATCTTCACCTACAGGGCAAACATTATCTTGTATAATTTTTGAAGAAAATATTATATGCCCCAGCTGTTTATCTTATACCATCTCCCAAACTCATTTGATCAAGCAACTGAATTTAAAATCTCATTCTCCAAAATATTTATAGAGAGTCTACTTTAAATACAACTAAACCACAAGGGTGAACTTACCACTTGCTAACTTTCTTTTGTCTGAGATAATACCAATATTATGGGCTAATGACTGGGCGAGAGTAACTGCCATTAAATCAGTTTTCCCAAACTGAAAAACAAGAGCAAAAACAAAATACATGTAAATGGGAATTATTTTTTATTTAAGATGGACCAGAGAAAAATGACACAATATAATTGGAAATAAGGAATTTCTAAGCCTCTTATTTAGTAGAGGTTAAACATACAGTAGCTAACGCTGAACGATGGAGCATTTGAGAAAAAAGCTGTAAGAAATAAACCTATGTTTGATTCAATCTTATAGGGAAGACTAGAAGCCAGGGAATCACCACCTTTCGGGTTTAGAAAATTAAGTCTAATTCTGAGTCCAAATTTCACTAGTGACATTTCTGAAAAACTTAATACTTGTATATACATAAGTCAGTCTTTTAGAAAATAATAAAAGTAAATGTGTAAATTATTTGGAACTTGTTCATTTTTGTGTGTCTACTTGCATGCCCCAAATTTCCCCAAATTAAATAGAATGTGGCTTCAGAAAACAAATGGTATGAGTAACAGGAAGTGGTAATGATCTGTGGGCAAAAGAAACTTGAGACCTAAAGATACTTTTTTCAATATGTTGATTCAGGTATTTTTCTTTTAGATCACTTCCATCAGACTTAGTGCCTTAGGGGTAAAAGAAACTCTTCGGAAAACTTAGTCTATTTTTTTCTCCAAAACTTTGCCAAATATTGAAGAAGGAAGAATATTTCCAATTGGGTTGTCAGGTAGTAAGCCAATGCTTCAAGAATTACTCAGTTCTTCAGGAAATCAGCCAAAGCATAGACAGGGCCTTATTTTCAATAAAGATAAAAGTAAAGATTTTATCTATATAATTTGTAAATAGCTAAATTTGGAGATTATTCTAAGTAGAACATGAACAGAATTATCAAATATTATCTTCCATTATTTTCCTATTCTCTGTCCTCCGGTCATTTATAGCAACCATATTGGTTGTGAATAAAACAACCTAACATCTAGAGAATAAGGAATATGAGAAATTATCTCTTAAATATTAGGAAAACATTTTCAGCCATCATACCACTTTGTATTGTACAGATGTTCACACCTACTTCATTCACGCCTCCTCCTTTCAGCAACGAGCAAATCCCACCAATATAAGCTGCCCCGCTCCGGCTACTCTCAAATTGACTTCCCCTTTTAGAAAAGGAAATGAAAAATGCTTACTGTTCAAAGTTCCAAGTATCACTGCACCTTTCATTATTAATTTACCACACTTACGTTCTCAATGCAAATACATTCCTATACTGTATATTCCTGAGGTAAGGGAGGAATGTGAATATTATTTACACACATAACCAAAGGGTTTCTGAGGGATGTTTCCCCACATGAGCAATAATACCTTCAACAGAACTATACCTGTTTTGAAAAAATCACTAATATGGTGTACTCTGAGGATACAAAATCACTTCTGTGGTATTTCTGACCAAAATGTCTAACTTGAATCTCTCAATGGGAAAACATCAGACATCCCCACAATGCAGAACTTTCTATGAAATAACTGACCTACACTCTTCAAAAATGTTAAACCCAAAATAAACAAAGAAAGGCTGAGGAAATCTCCCAAATTAAAGGAGACTAAAGAGACAGGACAATTAAATGCGATGCATGACCTTGTCTTGGGTCCTGAATGGGGGAGGGAATTAGCTATCAAAGACATTGTTCAGACAATTGGAGAAGCCTGAATATAGGTTACTTAAAAGTACTGTATCACTGTTAAATTTTCTAGTTTTAATAATTTAATTTAATAAAAATTTTAATAAAATTTAATAAATTTAACAAAATTTTAATTAATAAAAATTCAATAATTTACTATGGTGATATAAGAGAATGTTTTTATCTTTAGGGAATATATATGTATTTAGTAGTGAAGGCCCAGTAAGTATCTCCAACTTGCTCTCAAATGGTTCAGGAAAAAAAAAAATTGATAGATAAATGGATAAAAGGAAAAAGGAAGGGAGGGAAGGAAAAAGGGAAGAAGGAAAGAAGGAAGAAAATAATAAACAAATGGGGCAAAATGTAAATAATTAATGAATCTGGGTAAAGAGCATATATTTCCTTGTAGTATTCCTGCAAAGTTTCTATAAATTTGAAATTGTGTAAAATATAAAAGTTACCCAAAAATATACTCTTTTACTTCCATTTATAACTTCCTTCAACAGATCTTACTTTACATAATATGTTTTTTAAATGCTATAATATATAGTTTGCTATTATATCAAATATGCATTTACCCCCCCAAAAAAACCATGAGAGTGAGAAAAAATTAAAAGTAAACTCCAGAAATACTAATGTATTACCTTAGGACCAAAGCAAAGGTAACATTAACATTTAAAATATAGAAACTTTAAAGAATATAATTAATCTGTCACGAATATTCTTTATGAGTATTAACAGTACTTTTACTCAATAAATGCTCTGATTAAATCTCTTGAAAATTAAATAAAAATATACATGCAATAAGAAAATAACTCAAAACTAAACCTCTTATACTTTCATGACAGCTTCAAACAATCTATACTTTAAAACTTCTTCCAAATGTATCTGCCATGTCAAATCCTAATTGCATTATACTGGAGAAAGGCTAAATTTTGCCAGATTCCTATCCTAAATGTCACAAGTAATACAGAATTCAACAGGGAACCAAAAAAAAGTAATAAATCGTAAGTTACGTACGAAAAAAGGTGAACTGCATCACTCTTCTCTTTGATAAAATCCCTCCTGTATTTCATAAACTCACGTAGAGTGATCAATGGATTTTCAGATATGGCGAACTTGTTGTCAGCTGCCCAGGTTTCCATAGCAACCAATACTATCCTTGTCTTCAGTTGGTCTTTATATATCTGGTATATTAACAAAAGGAATACACTAGCTATTGTGGTAAAATCAAATGATTTATGAACAGGATTATAAAGCTCCTCTTATGAAAACTCTTTGAGTTCTAGTTAAATGTAAAAAACTCTATTGTCTTTAAGGGAGATCATTATTTTTCTAATTCACATGCATTTTCCTTGAGTAACAGAGAGTCAAACTGTTCACAACTAATACCCAAAGAACAGAGGACTAATTAGAAATAAAAGATCACTTTTTGACAAATATTTGCACCCTTTTTCAAGGATCTCCCTGAGTCTCTTTTCTGGCACCCTGGAGAAAGAATTCACGCATTTTTGGGTTTCCCAAGAGAAGAATGGAACAACGAAGACTCCCCTAGGATATAATTTCTATATAACCTTACTGGTCCCAATTAAACTCATGGAGAAGGTACCCACATTGCCTCGTCAGGCAGAAAGTAAATATAGTAGGATTACTAGTGCATCATTCACACACAGCCAGGCACTCTCTTGAAAACAGCACAACCACCTCTTTCTCCAATGTTGGAAGTACACAATGAATATCTTCGTCAAGGATTAGGACTCAACTTTTTATTTTTCAATGTGAAAAATATAAGGAGAAATTTCAAGCATCAATCCATGGGTAACTTTGACCACCTCCTTTTATCATCTTCCCAGCCAGAGATCAAAATCAATAAAGTCCACTGCAAGGTTACTAGGGACTTACGTATGGGACACCTTGCCTAAAGTGCAATTCAGGGCACCGAAACTATAAGAACCATATTATCCATTCTGTTAGCAATCAGGAGATGAAATTCCTCTATGGCAATATTGAATCAAGTTGATACTTACTAAATCTGCCATGTTCACCACAGATTTCGCATATGTATTGGTATGTACAACTGAAAGCCGATGTTTTTTAAACTGAAAACAAAACAAAACAAAAAAAGTGAAGGGCTTCCAAATAATCACCTCAGCAGAGAAAACATAGTGTAACTGAAATATCTCTATGGCTTTCTGTAAAAAAATTATAAGAGCTGAGAACTAGTTTTTTATATGCTGTGCAGTCTGAGGAAAGGTTCTTAAGAATTTGAGGCCTCAGTTTACTTAACTGCCAGAGGAAGTAAAAAATACCTATTCCATCCATTTCACAAGTTTATTTTTAACACAGAATTGTTATTCAAAATGATAAAACGTAGGAAAGTTGTCTATGAATTGCAAGACATACACATATAAGTAAGGTGGATAGCCAGAAAAAGTGTATGTGAATAGTGTGAAATATCACCACGAAATAGCATGTAAAACCTGATTTTTGGCTTCCCTTAAAATTAGCATCCCTCATGGTGATAACTAGCAAGTACTGAGAGGCAGCCACTCCCATTAGACAGGCCATGTATCTTTTCTTTTGCCACAGGCCTCACCCCTCCCTATTGTTTTACATCTGGCTTACTTCATTTGTGCTACCTGCCTACAGATCTCTGCAGGCATCTGAATGTGCGCTATCCTAAAAAGTCGAAATAATATGTTCTTACAACTTATTCTGATCATGTAAAAATCTCAGGAAACAGTAACATTCACTGACTTCCAAGAGGTTAGAAAGATAAAACTTAGTTCTAGCCTGAACAAAGAAGAACTCAATCTGGATTTTATTATTATTATTATTATTATTATTATTGGCAACAATAGGTGATCGATGTTTGTTTAATCATACGCAAACAAATGACACATTTTCCCTCAAATAAATCACTCAAAGTAAATTAAAATGTATTTATCCCTGAAATTAAGTAAAATTCAGCAATGTGCATCATGGAACATGTTTAGTTTAAAACTGAGGTTACATAGAGCAGGTAACATTACAACTCACTGCTGTGCTGTAAATGTAAGCTACTTCCTGCAACATGCCCATGCACTGAATATACACACTCTGGGTTAAAATAAATGACTCAGCAAGAAGGAAGTTTTGCCAGATTCCTATCCTAAAGTCTTCACTGCTTGCCTATATATAAACATTTCCATATGGTTTGTTGCATAGCAGGCCAGAAATTGAAAAACTGCTTTTCTTTTATCAGGATAAAGCTGTATGCTGCAAACTAAAGTGTCCCATTACTGGTGCCTCACTGATTTCTTCAAAATACAAATATTCATTAAGCAAATCGGAAGGGCTGACTAACTCTAAGTCAAAGAAGTATTTCTGGAATGTCACAAAATACTGCTAGGTACTTCCACCTAACAATGTTTCCAATTTAGAGGTTGTTATTCGCTAACAAAATACATTTGGCTACATACACAAATGTCTTTTCCAAGTTACAATTTTCTGGGTTTCTTGTTTCTTCTAAACATATTTCTGTATCCACCAGTTTTACCCCTTGGCACACACAAGTTCAAACGACAAAAAATTTAGCACATCCTACCATTAGATGATCGTTGACAATCATCAGCTCAATATATTTGGTCTCCTCCTCTATGTTACGAGGATGTCGACGAAGCTGCAATATGGTAAAGGAAATAGCACCTACATAAGCCCCCTGAACTTGGCTGTGGAAAACTAAAAAATATGTTACATATTATGTTGCATATTATACTGTACCCTTTTTCCAAACACTTCTGATTTCGACACTCACAGCCCCTGGCAACCACTTTTCTATTTTGTGAGTTTGATTTTTTTTTTTTTTTTTTTTTTGGTTCCACATATAAGTGATACCTTGCAGTATTTATCTTTTTCTGTCTGGTTTATTTCATTTAGCATAATGACTTCCAGGTTCATCCATGTTGTCACAAATGATAGGATTTTCTTCTTTTTCAAGGCTGGATGAAACTCCACTATATATATACACACCACATTTTCTTGATCCAGTCATTCGTTGATGGACACCAACATTGATAACACTGTATTATATAATTGAAATTTGCTGACATAACTTAAATGTTTTCACCAAGGGAAAAAAAAAGGTAAATATGTGAGGTGATGGATGTATTAATTAACTCAATGGAGGGGTTCCTTTCTCTCTCTCTCTCTCTCTCTCTCTATATATATATAATCATCCTATTGTATACTTCAAGTATCTTAACAGTTTTGTCAATTAATTATACTACAATAAGGCTGAAAACAGTGTTTTTAATTAAAAAAACTAACATATGAGAGAAATAAACATTTCCACTTTTATTCCTTCAGAATTTTTTTTCATTTTTGTCAATTTTACTCAATTTTTGAACAGGTAATAAATTCATATGATTCAAAGATTAACTAAAGAACTATAAAGAGGTTCAAGATCAAAGTCTTCCTCTCACTTCTGTTCCCCATCTACCTAGTTGCTAACCTTTCTCCCCACAATGGGTATAGCCCAGTTACTGGTTTCTTCCAGAAATATTGATGCATATAAAATCAAACATAACATATATTTTATTTAGTACTTCTATTTATTTCACTAGCTTTTGCATCAGGCAAAATCAGGTTATTTTCATTTACCAGTATATCTTGGAGATTGTAACACATGAAGTGCATTCTTTCTGGTTTAATTTAAGCTTCTGAGGATCTCTGAGAGGATACAGGGGGTGTCTAGTGGACACTTTTATTCTCTAATCTCCAAATCTGGGATTGAGAATGCCCTTTCTTCCTCTGGTACAGTTCAAGGGATCCCCCAAATGATGTAAGAGTTTTATTAAGATAGTTTTGAGAGCTTCCAGGCAGTTTTGGTTTATCTATTACAGCTATGTTATATCTATCTGTTCAACAATGAATTTTCTCCACCTTCAAAATCATGATCAGTGGATGCTACTGGTAGGAGAAACTAAGGCAGCCATATGCCTTGGTTCCCTGCAGTTCATCTATAACACAGTCTTTAACAAGAGCTGTAAAATTAACTTTTTCCATTATGCCATGCTTATCATATGATCTCACTTGTATGTGGAATTTAAGAAACAAAACAGAGAATCTTAGGGGAAGGGAGGGAAAAATTAAACAAGAGGAAATCAGAGAGGGAGACAAACCATAAGAGACTCTTATCATAGGAAACAAACTGAGGGTTGCTGGAGGGGAGGGAGCTGGGGGATGGGGTGACTGGGTGATGGACATTAAGGAGGGCACGTGATGTAATGAGCACTGGGTATTATATAAGACTGCTAAATCACTGACCTCTACCTCTGAAACCAATAATACATTATATGTTAATTAACTGAACTTAATTTAAAAAAACAAAAAATTTGAGGAAAAAATAAAATTATCCTATTCTCTGATCTCATAATTCACAAAAATAAACACTATTTCAAATTAAATCTTGTTGGCAATCTTCATTTACTTAACTGGGCCTCAATATATACATATATTCACAAAATACATAAAGCTCCTGGTAGCAATTCATGGAACCCAAAGCCTTCTGAGAGGCAGTGTATAAAGCATATATGGTTATAAGCACTTCTCTGAGACTAGACTTTCTAAGTCAGAATCTGAACTCCACCACTGAGTAACTCACTATTACCCTGGGCAAGGCTCTTAAGCTTCTTATGCTTCAATGTCCTTAGCAGTAAAATGGGGATAATAATAATACCTTCCTCATAAGATTATAATGAGGATTAAATGAGTTAATACAATTAAAATTTTTAGAACAGAGCCAGGCACGGGTACCTGTGCCTCAATAAAACAAACAAAAACCAATTATTATTCACATTAGAAATGTGCCTATAGTTATTTTATTTCATACTTATTAAACATATTTTATACAGAAGATAACTGG